GAGAAACAATTCTCAGAAATGTTGGTAAACTGATCCAGACAAGAACAGAATAAGCTGTTTTCTAAGACATTTGCTTTGTGAATCCAGAGTGACCTCCATTATTTAGCAGCTATGTTTTGCAGGGTTTATTTACAGATTTAACGCTCACTGCTGGATCATTTCGGAATTACTCTTAAAACCAGAGATTCAAATCTCATCCTACCGGTACAGTCAACTACCTTTGTTTGCTCTTAAAATTGATTTATGCACATAATTACTACATTTAGTTTCCAGGGTGATATATTTGGTAATTTTAAAATTCATCAATTTGAATGTAGATACACACATGTAGGCCTATCTGAATAAATTAATCATGCTCTTATCCTGAAAAGACCTGGTTCTTTGCTCCTAAATTTGACCCAATTTCCGAGATCACTCGAACTGACAGTTTAACGACTGTTCTCATGATACTGTAAATAACACCCAGAGTGTTTATTGTTTCAAAACTCTTGTCAATGAACTGCAGATGAATTTTGTCCACATTGCATCAAGGGTGGGCATTATCTAAATTGCACTCTTGGAGATAACGTGATACAAATGTGATTGGTCGGAACATGGAGTTACAGCTCCATGGTCGGAACACTGCCCTATAATTCACATGTGTGTATATTTATCATAGAATATGAGCCTTGTTGCGTATTTTGATGGGTGTAAATTTGGTCCAAGCGGCCTGTTTGTGGAAGATTTTGTTGCCGTAATTTCCTGAAAGTTTTCTTGGTTGATTGATTGAAGTCATTTTACGGCTGCACATGTCCAACCCATAAGATTCAATCTCCGAAAGCAGATGGTCAGTTGGTCATTCCAATTACATCAGTTTATCGTGAGGAAACTTTATTTTTGCATCTTTTACAAGTCTTTATTTCAAGGGAGAACTTGCTGGTCACCATGTATTAATTAAGTTACAGATCTGTGATTGTTTGTATCCTTGTTTCTTAACTTTGTTTCAAGAACTAAATTCATTTCTTATTTAAAAATCGGGAGTCCATTTTTCTTGACAATATATTATTTTTGGGTATGGGCTCCGTGCACAAGTACCCCCTCAACGGTAAAAAGTGGAGAGTTGGGGAAGACCAGTGGGAGAGATATTCGAACGCATTGCCGCCGATGCCTGACAATCAAGCGGAGACATTGTAGCTTCAATGTGCACATTCAGAATAAAATCTGTTGCGCTTCGCACTATACCTTTACGCGCAAACACGTACGTGCACGCAATGTATCCTAGCCACTGGGCTCACGAAAGTGAAAAAACAAGCGCCCTCTCTTGATCGCACACGGAGCCCAATAAAGCCCATTACTGTAAGGTTACATACTGTTTGTACAATGTACATGTGGGTCACACCATGAAAGCTAACTAAAATTCTTCTGTCACAATGATGTGTCACTCAATCAAGTTAGGGGTTCAGATCATGATATCCGTTACTCCCATGCTGTACCTCAATCAGGGACAACCCTACTACAGATGACACAAGCACACCCCATGAAAGGATGCAATTGAAGCATGATACAGCTCCCCATCTGACAAGTAGGGTCACACGTTCAGTAACGATCAGGCCAAGAAAAACAAATCAGGCGACCAGTAGGGCTTCCCACATGACATGGCTTAAAAACACCCGCAATTAAAAATAGTAACAGCTCGTTAAAAATAGAAACTCTTTAATTGTCGGGACGTCGTAAGGCTTCGTTACTGGCCTAAAAATAAGAACGGTCTTGTGTAATGCATTTTTTTCTGAAGCGTTTTATTGAGATCTGAAAAAACTTCCGGGTGCCTTATCCAGGGTTCGCCCTTAACTTTTTTTTTCACTAGCCAGCTGGGCTAGTGAAACAGACTCTTATCTAGCCCGCGGGCCTTTTTCACTATTCCGCAATAGAATTTTGAAACTTCTGCACCATAAACTTTACATAATACTCACCATTAACTCACATTTGGTGAGCGGACTACTGTTAACGTTGAACCCTGGTCTTATTTAAATTGTAAAAAATTATGTACAAGTGTGCACTTCCGTTCACCCTTTTCGCTATCAATATTGCATGATTATGGCTCTTACATGTACATAAATACGAATGTAGCTTGGGATATATTGGTACATTCTGTTCACATGTGTCAGAATGTACCGGTACATTGTGTACATGTGTACATGTACATGTGCATGTCTGAAGTTAATTTATATGCCAAAGCAAAAATCAACTGTGAACCAGTTACTCGCAGTCAATATTATTTGACATTTTGGCTGATATAACCTGTCGTATGCATTTGTGTACATTCTTTACATACTTAGCTCTACTGTGCAAAAAGCTCACTTTTAAGCCTAAATATCAAGCCCACTCAGAACAGCAAACATTAGGCAGTTTTTTCCCCTTTTCTATCCCTGCAAGCCTTTTAGTTAATTCCAACAGAAGCCTTTTTTTCCTGGCTATTTTGTAAAGCCACTCTCACCTTTTGAGCGTTTCCATTACACGCCCATTGAAGATTTCCGAGCCGTCGCTACAATCGCCCGGCCACTGATACATGTTAAATTAAGCTTAAAAACCTGAACGTTAGAAGGGGCTTGAGAACCGGAGCTTAAGCTGGTTTGTCATTATGTGGGAGGCCTGAGCAGCCTTGTCCAGAAAAATGTCCCCCCCCCCCCCGACAAAAGAGGAGATTTTCTTTTTGAGGAATTGTGTGGATTATTAATGATTCACTCGTGAAATGTGGAGCAAAAGTGGTTGGAATTTTAAAGTGACGCTAAGAGTAAGACCCCTCATAACAATGTTTTATTGGTTTGCCTTTTCGGCTGTTCATAATATTTCCAAGTGATCAGGCATGCTAAAAAAACTTCCATGTTCATACATTTGTAAGTGAACTTATGTATACATTGAACATTCAAATGTACATTGAATACAATGTATAAAGCCCTTTAATTGAGAAACCATTGGTTATCGGTACACACTGATATTCATATTTATATGTTAACTTCGACATTATCTGTATTTCACCAATAGCAATATACATTGTACATTTGCAGAACTCGTTTTTTATTCTTCAAATCATTTATCATTGCAACAGCAGTAGTGGCTTGTGTTTTTTTTTAAATTGTGCACCATTGCAGCATCAATTTTTATTGGCTTGTTGGTCCATCACACTTCACAGTCATATACACACATATCAACCGGCGCTCAGCAGAAATATATTACGGTAGATGTAAATTATATGAACATTGTACAATATCATTTTACCAGCTAGCCACAGAATTTAATAGCAGCCATGTGGCAATGCACATGGGATTGTGTCATTATTGCCATAGGATTGTGTCTTAATGATTTGGAAGCAAGAAGTGCAACATTCCAACCGTTAAAAAAATGGGAGGAATGCAGCAACAGCCATGGGAATGATGACAGACAATGAATCAGATGGATTAAAGTAATGCTGATACATGTATACATACTCTAAGACGGATACATACTTAAATTGTACAGTACATGTAACATTTAGAGTGACATTTAAGAAGGTTTCTCCATCAATGATACAGCTACGTATACTGTACATTTACATGTAGTCCTATCTAAAGTATCCAAAATAGGAATTTAATAAGTACACTGTACATTTCGTGAGCCTACAACCATAGTGTAATGAAACACCATTCCCAACCTGTAAACACTGAAAAAAAAGAGGCAAAATGTCTACATAAGAAATCAAAATTTTTTTTTTAACTACACCCGTGTACATTTGTACAAAATTGTGTCTACAGTATTACAAAGCTGAAAGAAGATACATTTAGACAAACCCTGTATACACTATAAGGGGACACATGATGTATATGTACATTACATGTATAAGTGATAAAAACAAAAGTTAAAGCAGTGCTCACTGGGAATTATTCTGGCTGAATTTTCGGCCCCCTTGGGCCTTCATTGGAGCTGGACTGACTGTTTACATGTACCGTATGTGAAATACCAATAGGACGGATGTAGTACCGATACGTAATTCATGAACATGTTCAGACTATCACTCACAATGAAAATAGAAAGGTTAAGAATGTGGCGTTTATACACTGTACAGAGTATCATTAAAAACATGTTCATGAGTTGGGCAGGTTCAGTGATTCCTCCTTGGCGTGAAATTAAACTTACTACACTGTATACATGTGTAACAATACGACTACTACAAATGTATTACTAACTACTGCAAAGGGACATGACAAATAACAAGAGTGAGAAACTGACAATTTTCAATCCAGCCAAATCTTTCTCAAAGGGGACAGTGCATGTGTCTAGTGTGGGAGGAGGTTGCATTTCACAGTGGAGATCCTTGTATCTGCAGAATTGTACCGGTACCATACAGAATTCAGAGAAAAGATCCTTCAACTCTCGTCGGTACTTCATTATCGGACAAAGTCCCCTTGATTTACCATTTGCCCGTGCACTGCTCCCTCCTATTAATTTGCCGCCGAACACCAGCACAGTGCAATGGAGCAATTGTGCTGTCAAGCACTCACGCAGCCGTTGATTCATCACGACAACTCAAGCGAAATGAATCCGGGCTGGCAAGTGTAGAGATCCTTGAGGAAAAACAAAAAAACCCTCTCTCAGCCCTTAGACGTCGAGTCCTGTCGTTTGTGACTTGAGAGATTTGCCCCTATTGCCTCAACGAGCCAATTTGCCCGGCATTGTTGCGCGGGATGTGGCGTGTTGTTCCTGAAAATAAATCCGACTGACAGTTGCAGAAAACAGATTGACTTCAACTGAAGAATCCAAACAAATTGAACCTTCATCCCTGACGACTAAATTATCACATAAAAATAAATTCATATGTACATTTTTGTACATGTACATGTTTACATGTACATGTACAATGTATTTAACATATGCATTGTGTTCTTAACACTGACATACATGTACACCAGTGTAGGTTGTTAAAAATACATGAATCTATGATTGCAACTTTAATATCCAAAATAATGAATATTCATTTATTTGACCAGGTATGGAGGCGGAGTTATACTTCATCCGAGATGACCATGTCCAGCTTGCAGCTACCAGATACGACATGGCCATCAAATCCAACATCAACTCCATATACTTCAACTGGGTGACAGAACGACAGGTAAACAAAATTTGCATAAATTACCATAGATATGACTTCAAGCGGTAGCCAATTACATGTTGTTTATTATTTATTTATTTATCTGTTATTAATTATCAAACTCTCATGGCCAACAGGCCGAATTGCAGTTCAATGTACAGATTAATTACGATTCAAAATAGTTTAAAAGTCATGACAAAAAAAGGTAGATTAAACAAATAAAATCATATAATACAATGTATGTAAGTCTCTTTCTGCCGAGTTTTCCTCAGGGAATAAAAATCAGTCATTAGGATTAGCCTGACCCTGATTATGCATTCAGGTATTCCAAGAAAGACTTGAAGAAAGACTAGCCACCAGAAAGGTCAAGATGGCAGTGCATTTACGTCCTTGTTGACTGATGCGATGACCTGTCTCAGTACCATCTCTTCAACGATTGCTCCCTACAGAATTGAACACATCAACATGCATCTGCAAGTGGATGAGTGAAAACTGAAGTTGTTTTTTCCTGAAAACTGAAGTTGTTTTTTCCTTCTTTTTTGTTTCACCTTAGGTGTTTTATTCCATGTCGTTGAAGTCGGACAATACGTGGATGATGTCCAACCCTGGGATGAATATCTCTATGGATGGAGAGGTACCGAGAACAGAGAAAAGTGAGTCTTGAAGACTGTCAGTGGTAGGGAAGAGTTGAAGAGATTGAACAAGTCTTCTACATCTACATAGATCTACATGTACGACCAAGTCTTAGCAAAATTATTGAAAAATTTTGAAAGGCTTGTGGTGGGTTGATGGGTTTGGAAGGGGAAGGTGGCAAGTGGAGTACTTTAGATACATGTACTTGAATAAGTGATGGAGAGATTTTGCAAGGGATATGTGTTGAGCTGCAAAATAACTATCTGTATTTTTTTGTGTGAGCCCAGCTGTAAGAACCCTTTATGGAGAAAATCTGTGGCAAACATTTTTTTCAAAAGGACTGATCATCCATTCCAAAAACGCGTATCAGCCCAAGTTTGATTCAGACCCAAGTACCGGTAACTAGAGGTGCACATGTATGAATACCAAATGATTACGCATACCATAAAACCTTGCTAAACAGAAATCAAATGGGGTTTGGAATAATTGCAATTGGTTCCTCCTTCATTCAGATCCTTTGGATTTGTGATTGTAAACTGTATTGTTTGTTTTTGGTGGGATTGCAGCCTTTGCTGTGACGTTGCACTGTACCGGCAAGCAGGGTGGGGAGGTGGGTTTCACAATGCAAGTCAACCTCACGTTGTTCTCCGCCAAGAACATCACCTCCCTCAACTTCAGGAGGCGGAAAATGTGCGAAAGGGGTGAGTAGTCCTGATTTGGATGACATTTTTAAATTTCCATCATCTAAATAAATTGACTGGTACCCGCTGTAACACCAGATTCAAATCAGCCAGCTGACCCCGGCAAGCTCAGTGGTCGAGTGGTAAGACGTCTGTACTAGTAAGCAGGAGGTCGTGGGTTCAAGTCCCACCTGAGTGAGCTTGTGAATTTTTGTTTTGAAAGCCCTCAGACAACACGTAGTTGCAGTCCTTATTAACTTACGTCGGTGAGCGGCAAAATTAAGTGTTGAATGGATATATCACTTAGGGTTGGTTTAAAATCTTGACAAATGACTGCACACAACATTGAGAGTAATGAGGAGACACATGGATGGCTGTTTTTCCCATCAGCAAAATAATGTCACCATCTGCACTTTGGGAGCATTAGCCAAAGCTGTGAAAAAGAAGATTATGATAGAAGAACGTAATAAGGAATTGCCTTATAAACTGGTGTTGACTAGACTGATGAAAATGCGCAACCTCTCAGTCGACGTGACTTGACTGTGAAATGAACTCCTGCTACAGTGCGAATTGGATTACCAGATGCCGTCCTGCATTGGTTTGGTATTATAAGGCTGAATTAATCTCTTCAGCGTGTCCATATCATCAGTGATCACTTGCCCTTTTTCCTGCGTTCCATCTGTCTGTCGGGAGTCCATCTGGCTTGGATTACACAGCTGTTTAACATTCATTTGTAATTCTGACTTGCAGACATCACTATCCCAGTTGACCTCAAGACTCCCACACCGGAGGAGAGAGCAGTTGATGTCGATGTGATATTTTGTGAGTAGTACAAGAACCACTGGAGATAGTGTCCTTCCTATGAATGTTTTTAAAAAAAACTTTTCTTTCACCACATCCAGGCTGTGTCTGAATCTCTTGTCAATAGCTATTGTCTAGGTCTTCCACAATGGACAATAGAGGACGCTTTATTAATCACTTTTTGAAAGCTCTAGTGCATAGGCATCTAATAAAACCTAGACATGACATCCATTATGCTTTTACGTTGTGAATTTTGTTAGCAGAATAGGCTGCGTCACGCGGCCTGTAACGATATGTTATGCAATGCGCGAATGTCCTGTGGCTTCGAATCACACACATATGATGAGTGTTTGCATAATTGATGTATTCGTAATGCGCAGTGTTTTGCCAACATTTTTGATAGCAAATGTCGTGTCTAGGTTTTATTAGACATCTAAGCTTTGCAGTGGGGGACACACTGTGTTAGCGCACGGGTTCTCGTGCGTATGGCGCGAAGTATGTATGAGTTGATTATATTCCAAGTGTACACAAACCCATTGCGTCTTCGCGTATCAATCAGGCGTTTTCTGCAATGCGTTCTAATGTCCCTCCCAGTGGCCCTTCCCAACTTCTCTTGTCGTAACCGTTGAGGGGGGTACTTGTGCGCAGACTCCATTTTGAAACTATTCGGGAACATGCTGACAGTAAACATGGCCGTTGCCCTGCAGACCTACATGGTCAAAGTCTTTCATTAAGAGTTTACAAGATTCTTACCAAATTATCCGATTTCTAATTTTGAAATTTTATTTTACAGCGGAGGAGCAGCCTGAGAAGACGGTGACGTCTACCAGTGTGTTTTACATCTCGGTGGGCGTGGTGTGTGGGGTCATTCTACTGCTGGTCATGCTGGTGGCACTGGTCCACGTACGATCCATGAAAAACTCCGATCCAGCAAGGTAGAACTAAGCAGACATTTTTATGGAGCTTGCTAACCAGAAAATGGTGCTTAGCTGAAATATTGCTGAAGTCAATGGGGAACCACTTACAATCAATATATGTTGCCTGGCATCTTGGCTGGTAACCTGTTTTCGCTGAGCACCAATTTGTTTGTTCTAAGCAGGTCTTTGTGCTAAGCAAGTTTGGAAATTTATACAATAATTGTCTTTATTTACAATTTTTTTTTTCCAAATTTTCTCTTGCAAAATTTTTCAATAAATTTTTTGTAGACTTGCACATGAATTCTTTAAAATGAAAATGGATTAATAAGTAATGATATTTTTTCCACAAAAAGGTCTCTCATATTTCTCCTTATCACGAACTTATCTTGAAATTGTACATTAACAATTTGGTTATATCTACAGTGAAACCTCAAGCAGTCGTTCAACGCCAAAATCAACAGCGGCCAAGAAATCGTCCCCGACCACCTACACCAAAGCACCCGCCATGAACGGCCATGTTAACAGTAACGGTGTCAAGCCACATAATGGTGAGATTCACGCACAGTTCAATTGTTGTATTTCAAATTTTAATGGTCTCTGGATTCTATTGGGAATTTAGGGTGGTATTGTGTGGACTAGTCGTTATGAAAACGTACATCCAAGAAATATTAACTTTTTATTTTATACTTTTCTCTGACTGACTTGTGTTACACAGGTTATATTGGTCTTCATCACCAAATCTACACAACAATCCCAGAGACGCCAGACTACACAGAGAAGCTACACACCATGACCATAGACAGGAGTAGAATCACAATAGAAGAGCTACTGTTAGAAGGTGAGATACCAGACTTGCAATACACATAGGATTCAAAATGTGCTGAAAACGAGCATATGGAAAGGGTTTTTTAGAGGACTTAACCCATACACGATGGAGATGTCTTTATGTTATTCCCTATTTCATGTTTTGGTGACAGGAACCTTTGGCCGGGTGTACCACGGCAAGCTCCTGATGTCAGTAGACGATGAGGAGGAAACGGCCACAGAAAAAGATGTCCTTCTCAAGACTGTCTCAGGTAAATAGGTCGCGTCCGAAGTACTCAAACCATCACCCTCGGGCAGCACACTCATGTTTCCGGCCTCGCACGCTGCGAGCGGTCGCTGACAGATACTTCGGGCCTCGCTCCCTGCGTGTTTATCTGTCATCCATTCCGACTACCGCAAAATGATTGCGTGTATACACGGCCTCCGGCGCGAACTGGTTAACTTGCTGCTTTATTTCGTATTTGTCATTACCATGACCTTGTGGTTGGCCATTCACAAATATTTAAAATAAGAAATCTTACGTTTGGAACTATAATTGCCTCTAAGTGATTCTTCCAAGGATTTGTGAACTGTCCTTAGTCTAAAGAGCAGCATTTAGATGAAACTTTTTGGCATTTATTATTAATATTTTTCTATTAATTTTTCAGACCAGTCTTCAGAAACTCAGGAGAAGCTCCTCCTGAAGGAGAGTTGCCATCTACACGGCCTGAGCCATCGCAACATCCTCTCCATCATGCACGTCTGCTTAGACGGCAAACCCATGTCTGTATTCGCATACATGAACCTGGGCAACTTGAAGACGTTCCTCAGGAACGGCCGGGTGGGGCCTGGCGACACACATCAGGTAGGACAGGTTGACGGTTTGCTTGCTTGGTTCGGTTGCTTTTCAGAAGAGCTGTCTTGTGTCTTCTTGATTCTTAGTTTGTCCTTTACGAGCATTTTCATAATAGTACAGCAGATAGGTGATGGGATTGTGCCTTTGATGATACAAGCATGGCATTTGGCACACAGTCAGAGAATGTCATGAGAAAGATATTTGGCTGAAAGGCCATCGCAGATTTGTCCTTTCAAAAATCGGTAGAATAACAAGCAATGGCAGCCATTTTGAAAATTGCTTGTTATTCTGTTCTACCTATATTTCTTCAAAGGACAAATCTGCGATGGCCCTATAGACGTTTTAACCCGTCAGCCATGCCTGTTTATAGAAACAGCCAGATCATGTTATCACGTCATCCAACGCGAACTGGTTAAGAAGTAACTACTGTTCAGGAAGTAAACATTCGGTTTGTTTCATTAATTTTTTTTCAGTCCATATCAACCAAGGACCTGGTCCAGCTAGCAATTCAAATCAGCCACGGTATGATGTACCTGGGAAAGAGGAAAGTAGTCCACAAAGATCTTGCCACGAGAAATTGTGTGTAAGTTGGAAATTATTGATTTCAACCTTGCTCTCCATTAAGATAAACCCAACCCCTTCCCTGCATCCCCTGCTCACTTAATAGTTGTACTCAATATCAAATTGTAATTATTATTTATTTATTTTTTCATGAAACTGTAAATCCTCCTACAGATATGACATTGCTGGTATCATAAATTTTATCATTATTCTGTGGTGTATTTTCTTATACATGTAATTCCCCACACCAACGTCCAGCTTGTATTTATTTCTAGTTGTCATTATTTTCTGGTTGTATTTTTTTGCAGGATTGATGAGGATTATAATCTGAAGATCACAGACAATGCGTTGTCACGGGACCTGTTTCCTAGCGACTACCATTGCCTAGGAGACAATGAGAACAGACCGGTCAAATGGATGGCTATCGAAAGCTTACTGGATAGGAAATTCACTGCAGCGAGTGACGTGGTAAGGACAGAAACCAACAACCAATATCAAACTATTGTTGCCTAGTTTGATCTAATTTTATGGTGCTATTGCCATTCCTTTACCAGTGGCATCCTCATCTGGGGCTGGTGACATTAGGCCAGTCTTCAACTCCACCCCCACCTTTTAAAACAGCTAGTCACTTAGACATTCTCATGTGCATTGCCTTTGCCGTTCCTTTACCAGTGGGCATTTGGCATCCTCATCTGGGAGCAGAATGTTGGTGACATTAGGCCAGTCTTCAACTCCACCCTTAGCCCCTTAAACAGCCAATTGCAAAACTCTTCTCACAAACATTCTCTTTGCCATTCCTGTTTCAGTGGGCTTTTGGCATCCTCATCTGGGAGTTAGTGACGTTAGGTCAGACGCCCTATGCTGATCTGGATGCCTTTGAGATGGCTTCATACTTAAAGAGTGGCTACAGAATGCCACAGCCTCAGAACTGCCCAGACGAACTGTAAGTCATTGCTTAAAATAATTTTTAAAAAATTAACAATAAAAAATATATACTTTTTTGTAAAAGCTCTAGGGGCCAAAATAAAAAAAGTCTCCTAACTAGTTTGACCTTTGACCTTTCTGTAACCTTTGACCTTTCAGGTTCTCCCTGATGGCCTGTTGTTGGGCGTTGCTCCCCACGGATCGACCAAAGTTCACTCAGCTGTGTGCCGCGCTCACAGACTTCCACCGAGCTCTGGGCATCTACATCTAGACTGTAAAGCAAGAAAAGTCGCACGCTTAATTATGGCCAGTCAGTGGCTATGTCCAAATCGGGAATTTGAGGCTACGACTTGAAAAGTTCACACTATTGTACTACAGTAAATGGCTGTAGCCGTGTCCATTTCAGACAAAGCCTTATAATGTATAGCAGCAGCCATACTCAGAGAGCCTCTAAGCAGACTTTTTCTGCTAAGCACATTTTTGTGTAAGCGGGAAAAAATGGTTTACCAGCCACAGCTAATACACTTAATGTACAATGTTAGCTGGTAACCATTCCAACCTGCTAAGCAACTCTGCTTACCAACTCTTTGAGTTACGACTTCTGAATTTCAATCCAATTCTGAAATTGATACCAAAAGTACTTACGCAATAAAAAAGTACTTACCTAATTTACCCACGGTTCAAGATGATACCAAAAATGTAATGAAAAAGTTGTTTTGTGCTTAAAGAAATATTATTTAAGATTTTGCAGGGTTTCATTTGTATTCACAAATTCAAAATACCAACTGTTTCGACAAAATAAAAACCACCTTTTTTAATATTTTAATTTAAAACAAAAACGAAAAGAAAACCCTGTGAAAAAAGGCGTGGTTGCATTTCAGCCTGCATGTTTATATCAAGATCGTTAATGTAAATAATATTATTTAGAAATCGTTAATATTTGTTGTACATTTAGTGATTCTTTTTAACATTGTAGTTAATATCAACAGATTAAAGTATAAAATCTGATTTATTAGGGAAAAAACTCATCAAACCATGGTTGTGTATATTTTGTTTTTTTATAAATTTTTGTTTGATGCCGAATAGTCAACTCTATAACTCAGGGTATTAAGTTATACATTGTATTTAATAAGTCTAGGGACTATCTCCTGCTATTTTGTATTTATCACTAGGGGTGGGCGTCGGAGCCGGGTACCCGAGTACCCGACCACTGATGTCAGAAACTGGTTCCAGATTATGGGATCGGGTACCCGTAACCAACTTTACAAATTACTTGGTTACTTCTCAACAATGAAAAAAGAACGGTTTGGAATGCCATCTGTCGTGAATTTTAAAAACGAAAACCAGACAACTTAAGGGATGTGAATTTTAGGGTTGGGTTTCTGTTACGGATACCCGTGTGTTACTTTAGTAGGGTACCTGGTTCCCCGTAGTACCCGTAATTGGACATCACTAAGTATCACAATTATTTAAATTTCCTTTAAAAGCCTGTAGCAGCAACTCACAGTGCAGTGTGCAACTTTGTCATTTTCTCGGAGAGGCCTTTTTTTCCTTCAACTTCTTGTCTAACTTTTTTTTAAGAAGTCAGTGGATCGATACATTTTCCTGAAGTTAGTCATTGTTCATGTGCAGTGCCACGAAAAAAAGTGAATCGAAAAAGCATTGTTTATAAAAAAAACACTGATATTCATTGAAAATATTCCAGCTTGCATCATATTTTATTTGTCCCAAAACTTTTATTGTCTTATGCAAAATGAATGCAAATTTTACCCATGATGCTCCTCAAGCGATGGCCTCTCCGGTATCTCTCAGTGCTCACTAAATCTTATCTTGCTTCTTTTTTGTTTTTGTTTTTTGAAACCATGGCCGTTGCAGTGAAGTGCTTGTGTCAAACTTTCTTGTTTGAAAGCGTGTGTTTAAAGAAATAGAAAGCTTGAAAATTGTTCTCTTTGCCTATGTAGGGAGTAAAAATATCGGTTCTGAATGGGGCTAGCTTGAAACCGAAAGCTGTAAAGTTTCCTTGATTTGTGACCGTCTTAAAAATGACCACTTATTTCTTGGGCAAAGAGCTGAAATGCACTTATTTAATTGTAATTTGAAGGAGTGAAATACATGATGAGGCTGTTTGAAAAATTATATTATTCTATATAAAATATTGTGATATTCATGTATTGTATTACTAGTGCTAGGGTATAATACTATTTTTTACATGTACAAACAAAAGAAAAGAATGGACCCGCAGAAGTTACTTGCGAACATTGGTGGATATAGGAAAAAGCCAAAATGTTTTTTAATTAAAATATTTTCAAAAATATCATATGAAAGCACGAAGACTTGTTGCATGTGTCAGTTTTGAAAAATGAAAAATGGTACTTTCAAACTTGTAACTCAGTCTTACCATACCAAGCTTTGTAATCATACGTTTTTCTTATTTATTTTTAGAACAAATTTTGGAAAAATCATTACTAAGGATGCAAATTGCTGCCCCATTTTTAGATCAGTTGTCAACAACTTCGCCTGTTGCAACTGATGTCTTGTGTACAATTACTTGTAATTCTATGCAATATCCAAAGGCGGATCCAGTACTGGTGGTGGTGGTGGGGGGGGGGGGGGGGGAGGCAAGCGGGCTTGACTATCTTTCAAAAAGGGGAATGGAATTAAGTATAAAGTATCGTGCGATATTTTAAAATTGTAATATTAAAACTAAAAGGTATGTGTAGCTGAGGGCTTGCGAGGGAGATACGCAAGGCTTTAATATATTTCCTGAAAATTTAAGACAAAAAGGTTTCTTCACTCCTCCAATTAAATTTTAAAAATGGTTGGGGGGGGGGGGGTGGCCCCACTGCCCCCTCCCTGGATCTGCCAATGTCTACACAATTCTCAAACGAGTTGAAATATGCATGGAGTTAAAAGTTGGGGTAGAATTATATTCAAGGAATTTACTCAAGAACTGACCAAAAAAATTAAAACAAAAAGTGGGTTGCATTTTTAGGATATTGTTCATAGACCAGAACCCTCTTTTTAACATTGTACAATGTCTTTTCATTTCTGTATAAAAATAGTCCCTGTCAGCATTAACTGTACATAATTCATTGTCATGTAAATACCATTTATTAAGTACATTATGTAATGATATGGCATGTTGTATCATATAAACTAACTTACAGTACTTCGATCTGAAAAAATGTAAATTCTTTTGACTTGTTTTTTCAAATGATTGTTGTCATGTTAACATCCGTCAATATTCAAATTTTCAAGGTCGATATTTATGGATTTTCGCTAGGTCAGTCTGAAAGAGTTTGATAAAAACAGATGTTTGGTCATAATGTTTGGTCGTATGTAAAACACTTTGAACCTCTGATGCACCATACAATTTCATTAGCAACTTGTAATATTGTCTGACAGCTTTCAAGACTAGCGATTTATGTGTACTTAAACAGTTTTCACTTTTGAAATTACAAGAAGTTTTACAGTTAAGTGATACTGGGAGATGACTTTGACGCTGCCAGTTGTCTTTTCTTTGGAATAAAAATAAATATTCATTTATGCAAATTATACAACTTGAGTGATATCATTGGTTGCAACACCATCTTTTTTTCTAATAGAGACGCAAAAGTTCGGCAAAACTTTGTCTTTCAAATTTGATGCAAAGAATGGAAGTTGTTGAAGATCTTTGCCGTTTGCGTTTTCAAGGAAAAGCACTATTATCAGATCAGCCATCCTCGGCATCTAATACTGTCCAAAAGAGGGCATACTTTCCTACTTTTATTATCTGAAATCTGTACTGTTCCTGATTCATCTATGGAAGCTTGAGCCTTGCGAAAGGGATTTGTTTCTAACCCCACACCGAATTATTTTGTATAAGGTGGGAATCCTTACGATAAATGAGTAGGGTTTTATAAAATCGCAATTAAATATATTTTTCATAATTGCAAGAAGTTAACGCTTGCCTGGAAATAAGAGCAAGCTTATTACCGAGGAGTGTCCGTAATTCATCAGACCATTAAGATAAATTATTGAATTGCAAAACATGTTATATTTACAAGCCTTTCTGTGGAATTACTTAGTCAATAAACGTAAGGTGCTCTTGGCACTCATACACAAGCCAAAAATAGTGAATATATACCATGCATTCTTGTCTCATTTTGTAATTTTTGGGGACATTTCCCCGTTATAAGATGGTTGGCATCAAATCCGCATACGCAGCGTGATGCCTTGCGTGGAGACTATCCACGGGACTAGGCTCGTGCGAATGACATGGCTACGGCTTGCATTTCACAGCGGCCAAATAATTATTTCATTGCCAGTCATAGCCAATAGTTTCGGAAGCGGCCTTTATAGTCTCTTCACGAGTTCACTCGCGGTTCCATCCACCTAGTTTTGTGCTGAAATTAATCCGCGTATACTTTTCAGTACCAACAGTACCAATCTACTGTAAATGAATACGAATACGAAGGAAACCCAAAATGTTATTTTTAAAAACATAATGTATTCTCCATACCAGGAGACAAGGCCTATTAATCATTGGATTGTGAATTCGTGTAGGCACTACAATTTTTAGCGGATGAACATAATGCAATGAGTTGTCAGGTTTCGACCTTTGACCCAGGGGATTACGCAGATTGCTACGTGTTAGAAAAAGCTGTCAGTGAATTTGGCACATTTTTCGTGTTTTCTTGAAGATCGTAAGATCTGACAACCAGCCCAAAGATGCCGAGTAAACAAAGAATGCGACTTGCGAACGAGAAGGCCTCGAAAAATGTTGAGAAACGAGGAAACGTACCCAAATCAACGGTAAGATTGACGTTAGAATTGGGCATACGCGATTTAGCGTTTAGTAGTAGTACGCCGTTGGTTAGCGATAGGCTACGTGTCCAACGTTGACGCATGCCGGCGTGGCATAGGCGGTGACCGATCGTTTTTTTACCAACTGACCAACTGCGTGTGCAATTGGTCTCATTCATAAATATTTCTCCAGTTATTTATTGATGCATGAACGGTCCAGTCTTATCGGTAATATGTTTTATGTTTGAGATGGCCTAACTCACAACTGTGAAATTTCCTCTTTTTTTTTAGACTTTTATTTTAATTAAATTAGCCTAGGTCTTAATCATTGCCTGATTTTTATGTTGACGCTGCTCTGACTCTGTCTGAAGAGGCATAACAAAAGTTGTCACAAAAACTACACACAAATCAATGCAATAAATTAGTTTTAAAAATGACGTTTAAAAGAAAAGCTGCGTGAAAAAAAGTGACATTGTCATTGTGAAATAATGTTTCAATGTCCTAAATCATCATGATCATAAAACACTAGGCCTAGGCCTCATTCAAAATGTGACCCAAATGGGAAAGAATTCCATAGCTGGACATCAATTGACACCCTGTGTACAAACCCTACGCTATGAGACTGGTCTGAAAAATTCTAAGTGTTTTTTTTTCTTCAGTAAATGCCCCAATATTTTCCCTGCTAAATTTGATTTTTTTCAGGATATTTTATCGCTTTCTGATGGCTGATAGGTCCATTGTGATGTCCATGTATGTTATTCTCTCCCAAAAATGTTTAAAGTCTCTTCAGAAAAAAACTGGACCCCAATGTTGTCACCCATTCACCTTGTCCTCCTCTTTATACTTCTTACAGAAACCATCGGACGACAAATACCCAGTAGCCCCCTGGTTACTTGGTCTCTTCATCTTTGTTGTCTGCGGATCAGGTAATTGTACCTTCTCTCTGTTAATCACAAATTAAGAAGTGTTCTGTAACACAGCATGGTCATAATTTGTGTGCTTCGGGAATGAAATCACTGGAAGCTGATACTGATACAATACACGTACCTGGCTTTAACAAAAATATGTTTTTCAGTTTTAGATTCGAAAGACGTTAGATGGGAAATTGACACCTGTTTTTAATCTTGTTTGTGAATGGTGACCCTGATATCAGAAAAATTGAGATAAGCTTATCATTTGGATATTATTGAAAGCTTAAAATAGAATGAAGTTATGCCCATGTTGAAGTACCAAATTGACTTGACCCACAACACTTAAAATACATAAACTTCAAGTATTTAAGTTATATCTCTTAAACTCATTTTGTGTTTTTCATTTCATTGCCTTCTTTTCTATACAGCAATCTTTCAGATTATCCAATCAATCAGGATGCAATAGATGGACACAGCCCAACCTCATCTCATCAACCTAGCGACTCAAGAAATCCCCCTACCCATCCCTGGACAGTGTACATAGACATGGCGATCTCTGGACGCGCAGTTGAGCCTCCCAACAAACTCTCTAATGTGGGCCATGCAAGCCGGCAGCATAGACATCTGCTGCATGTTCAGTCACTCGAGGGCGCTGTTCTCTTCTGCTCAGCATACCCACAGTGAGCACTTTTACTGCCTCCCCGAATAAAGTTTACAGCACACCATTGTACAACTGTAAGGAACATGTGAAGATTGTCCAGTTAAGCACATGGAATCCATTTTGTGTCCAGCTTTTGGTTGCCCATTGCCGCAATTCTGGAAACATCCTAGGGCCAAGTAAACACTGGGTAGCAAATTTGTGCTAAGCAAAATTAGCGGGGAACCAGTCAACATCAACATACGTCACAAGGTGTTTCGGCTGGTAACCAGCTTCAACTCGGCAAAGGTTTCTCATGCTTCATGAAATCATTCCTTAGGCCGTGTCCGAATTAATGGCTGCGGCTTGAAATTACACACGAATCTATGGTAGCGGCTGCATTCACTTCCCATAGACTCTTGTGTAAGTTCAAGCCGCAGCCACTAATTCAGAAACGGCCTTAGCAAAACCTCCGAGTTGCTGTGATCCGTTCCAAAACGTTGCATGCAAAATGGTTTCCCTGTTAAGCAGTAATGCGTGCACACAGCAGTGCAGTCATTAATTTGTCCTTGTCCATTGAAGTCTTTGAAGCCATTGAACTCTCTGTAGCATTTCCCCCATCAGCAAGCTATATTAAGCATCAGTAGGAGGCACACTACAAACTACCGGCAAATTATTGCTGAATGCGTTGTCTGAAGGTAGACAAATGCAGCTCACTCATTTCCATGGCAACACATCATTTACATTCCAAATGCCCCGCTCTAAACTCAACCACAAGCGCTGCACTGTCGTTCAACCCTTCACCGACCTCTATGCATTGTAACCCCCGCAACGTTCACATCAATCATCATATTTACACTTTATGTCTGTGACATTATCCGATTGTGATTTCCTGACATTAAAGCTCTTGCATTCGTTGTAAAGTATTTTTTTAAAGAATGTAATTATACGTGTATCTGGATCACAGTGAATTGTAACATGTCAAGTTGTCGGAAGTTACTCGACGTACGAAAGATTTGTTTGTGATATGTACTTGTAACCTTTGACTAATTTAAAGACTGACAAGATCACCGACTTAAATAAAACAAGACAGCATTTGAAAGTTTGAATGACCAGCAATATGATATTTAGAAAACCAAATAATTAGTGACAGTGAATATCAGAGTTTAAGACTGAACCGGTAAGGAATCCTAAATTCATAATCTAGATAACGTATGCTAGGTAGGTATAATTGTTGAACGTTTCCCCTTCTGGTGAAATTTGTCTTTTAATTTTCGTACTGAAGCCGCAGTTTGGTCATAACTCCCATAATAGTCTCCCAACTCGTTTCAGTATGGCGGACAGAAACACATGGGAATCCAGTACTACGGCTATGTCTGGTGCCATGTATTCACAATTGGTGAAGGCCAAGACGTAAGCTCTAGACAGGAGATTCAGCTACGGCAGTTGAATATTTTTGCGTGTTGGTAGCTCTTAAGGTCCTAACGGCTTTTTCCAAAGGGCAAGCAGAGAACAGAATTACGCAGTCTGTGACATGGCTGATAATTTGTGAGCTATAATGTGCATTAGATATATGTAGTTCATATTCAATTAAGAACAATCAGGTGTAATTTCACAGCTCTGCGTTAGGGCTGTCCATTTTTTGAAATTTAGTGTTGGATTATTCGAGACTGCTTTCGACCGAATGTTCAAATATGATTGCTGTGTTGCCACTGTAAGCATAAAATTGTCATTATTAACAGAACCATACAATTTTGCTGGGTTTTCTTCAAAACATGTTGCTGTTCTTGACATGATACGATAACTGGTCAGTCGTATTTCAAACTCTGCATTTATTGGAAATATTTGCATTATCTTTTTTCTTTCAGGACATATTGAATTCTTGAATTCGTTTGAATATTTGTGTCAAGTTTTATTTTGAAGGAGACACATTTCCTGTCAGATTCATTTTCTGTTTTCTGTTGAGAAAATTGTAACTTGGCTGCTCGGTTTTTGCTTAACCTTTTGTTTTTTTGGCTCAAAATATTGTGTGCTAAACAAAATCAGTAAAAGAGCTTGAAACAATTGTTTAATCAACAGTGGTAAAATGTTACGTATCATTGAAAAAAACCCCCGGAATACCACATTATTTGCTTTTCCCTTTCATGTTCTTAAAACGAATTTTTGTCATTGCTTGTTCACAAAAATTAAGTTGTCGTTTAATTGTAAAAGTGGTTGTTGGAAAAGTTTTGGTTTCTTGTCAATTTGTTTTTTTTTTTAATAAAATTAAACCGCACTTGAGGTTATTCCCTCGTAGAACGTTTTTACAATAAGTTTGAACATTTAATTCCATTTCAAAAAGGCATATAATTCGACATTACTTTATCCAGTATTTTCTTTCTTAGGGTTTATGTATTAATCAAATCCTTAAGGTTTCACAATTGTATGTTATTTCGCCAGCCAGACAAGTTAAAGAATTCCACAATTGTATATAAACTTTAAATAAAAGAATATGAATGGCTATTTTTATTGTTAAATTAGAGTGAGGCATTTTGGGCTGAGACCTTCAGACCACGTGCTGTAATTTCAAAATGATCCCTGAATTTAATTTCAATTCTGATTTTCTTTGTTTTTTTGGTGTTTTTTTCCTGACTATTCAATAAACCATGAATTTGCCTGAAAATGAAACTTGATGGTATGAGGCATTTTTCTTGTTGACTTCGGCCTGCCGTAACTATACTTATATCGGCAGAATTAATGTATGATAGAAACTTAATAATTATTGATGAAAATGTCAATTGAATATGCAAT